CCCCAATACCCTCTCAAGTTTCGCCCCTGCGTAAAGAGCTTGGGCGCGAATTTTCTGTTGCCTGTTGTTGAGTATATTTCCCCCTCTATTAGACACTGTATTAGACTGCGAGCAATATCCTCTATTTTTTTTCGTTTTATTGTTTCCTGGACTAAGATTGAATGCGCGGGAATGGCAGAAAGGGCCATTCCGAAGTTGATGAGAGGACTGAGGACGGGGAGTGTTAAAAAGTGCCCAAATTAAGAAATGAACCAAATAACTAAAAAGACCACCTCAAAATTAGTAAGTATACAAAGTTTGAAGGATGTTTACATGAATACCTTTCGAATAATAAGCTTTCGAAAATCGTGAAATTACTTCATAGTAAATATCGCGATTTTCGAAAGCTTATCGATGGATATTCATGTAAACGTCTTCAAACTTTGTATACTTACTAATTTTGAGGTGGTCTTTAGTGATTTGGTTCATTTCTTAAATCTGGGCACTTTTTAACACTCGTCGCCAGTCCACTCACCAACTTGGGATTGGTTACAAACTCTCTCCTCCGCAGAGGCTTTTTAAAAACTTGATATAAAGTAATAAAGAAAAACACCGCTGACCCATTGAGAGAGCCGCGAAATGAGAACGATTTTACTTTGCGCCCACGTTCCTCTCTTTCTTATAATCAGCGGAAGTTCCGCACTTTTCCCTTTACAACTTCATGTTAGGAACACATAATAGTTAGAAACACACGATATACGTTAATGTCGTGAACCTCTGCGGAGCTTTGTCTGCGGAGGAGAGAGCACAACAAATATCCCACTGTGTTTGCGCTTGGCATGACGCGATTACGCAGTAAAAACAGGCGCTTTTAGTCTAAATATTATAGTCATGCCTCTCAGAACTCTTCAAAACTATGTTGACTGGTCATTCTTGTAACGAGCATCGAATTTCTTGAAATCTGAATGGTTAATGCTCTTGAACATAATAACTGACATAATACCTCTCGCCTCCACAGAGGCTTCTGTTGGCTATGATCAGTATTGACTATGTAGTAAGTCATATAGCACTTTTGGCTTACTTAGAAGAACTGAAGAATCCTTGGTGTATGTAGCACTGCTGTTAAGTCAAGAGCGTATACTAGTCTTGTCCGTCCACAACTTCAGTATGCCTCTACAGTCTGGAACCCTTACACCAAGAGGTGTACATCAGCAAGATCGAGATGGTCCAACGCAGAGGCAGAGCTGCTAGATTTGTCTTTAATGATTATTCCACAGCTAGCCACGTCTCTCCAATGATCAACCACCTGGGTTGGGACATAGTTAATAAGTAGACGGTTTGGAAACTCATTAGAATAACAACATATAACTCATTATCTATGTTAGTCAACGTTTATTCATAAATCTCAAATCTGGTCGTTCACCGTCACGTGGGTATTGTATTTTTGCCAAATCCACCAATAGCAATTTCCAATTCACCCTATTGTTCGAGTCACGGATAGGTAACTTTCCTAAAACATTGCTATTGGTTAGTTGGGCAAAAATACAATACACACGTGACGGTGAACGACCAGATTTATGAATAAACGTTGACTAACATAAATAATGAGTTATTTTGTTATTCTAATGAGTTTCCAAACCATCTATTCTATTAACTATGGTTGGGACAATCTCCAACATCAGCAACTGGCGACTGCTACACCAAGCCGCTATGTTCTACAAGATCCATCAAGGCCTTGTTGGAATCAGTCTTCTTGATGACGTGTGTCCTGTGATTCGAGCATATATATATTTTACTATATAACCTTCAATATTTTAATTAAAAACGTTTTAAAACGAAATGGCAATAGAATCGATTTTAAATACAGATATATTGATACGTGATAGAGCTTGGATTCGATTTTTTTATCAGAATTTTGTCCCCAAAGGGTGGGGCATTTGCGTCAATGTAAGTCCCCAAGGGTGGGGATTTTGTTGCATTATTTGGACCCCATACTGGGGCATTTGCAACGTTTTTTCGCCAAAATGACAAAAGCCCGGCAAACGCCTGGGGGGGTGTTGGGCACTCATGGAATTGATTGAGACATTATTACCACTACAATAAGTGGGAGAGTTATCACAAACTGGTCTGGAGAGTTTCGAATGATCTCCGATCATTCATAACAGTTCGTCTGTTTCGTCCTTTAAGCTCCAGCTCCATTCTCACTACACTTCTTAATTACTCTCTTTCGACTCTTCTTTCGATGTTAATTAACAGAATGCGCACTTGGAAAACCTACTGCTCTAAATGCCGTTCTTTCAACTTAAGCTGTTGCTCATAATCTAAACTATTAATTTTTATATAGTAATGTAAATAGTGTTCTAGTCCTTGTCTTTAATGTATGTCTACTTATTGTATTGTATCAGGTTGGTCTTCACATGGGACTCATGTCCTACCATACCTTCAATCATTGTTATCATTTTTGTATGGTTGTAAAGTTAATAAATAATAAATAAACGCAAGACAAATGTTAAAACAGAATTAATGATGATAGAACGGGGGGGGGGGGTATGAAAATTTTCACTTACATTGAAGGGGGTTACGAAAATTTTTCCATAGGTTTTTAGGAGGGTATGGAAATATGTACTTGAAATTTCATTTATCCTCCACCCCTCTCTAGTAATTACTTTATGACCGGTCCCTTATACTCATTTCACTGGTTTGCACTGCTTGTCTCCGTCTGGCACAAGTGATTACCTTGTAACCCCGCTACAAAGTTTATGACGGTAACAGACTTGCTACAATTAGTTGTTCCAACCAGACTTACTTGTTTTAGCGTTCCCGCGCTATCTGAAAAAACGCCTGACATGGAATTTCTTTTCTTTATTTTCATAAAACCTTTAATAGTCAGTTTACAAACTTCCCAAACTACGTTTTTCTCACAGTTAGATATAAAATCGCGATTTTTGCTTTGGAACTGTCGTAATAAATCTACCCTTAAATTTGTGGAAAAACGGGGATGCATGCATGTACATATGCTATGCAGTACACAGCCAGAAACGCGCAAGTTGCAGCAGGTCTGCAACAGACTTGATAGAACTTGCGATCACCAAGCCGATATCAAGATGCGTTCGCATCGCTTGCTCCGGCTTGATAATATCAAGTCTGTTGCAAGTTGTCAACAGATTTGCTGCAAGTTGTGAACTGCAGATTTGCTGCAAGTTGTCGTCCACAGACTTGATGCAAGTTGTGAACTGCAGACTTGATGCAAGTTGTGAACTGTAGACTTGATGCAAGTTGTGAACTGCAGACTCGCTGCAAGTTGTCATCCACAAACTTGACGCAAGTTCTCAAAAGACTGATTGAGAAAAGCGCCTTATGAAGCTTCGTGTATCCACTATTTTGAACAAAAAAAGGCCAAATAATTAGTACGTTGCCATATTTCGGTTGCAGTGTTTCGTAAAATAACAAAAATTTTATATATTACAAACTTGCGAGATAATTTTTGAGCAAAACAGCCGGAAAAATACGACAAAGAAAGTTCTTATCGTAAACAATTTTCAAAATTTATTGGTCTTTAAGTGCGACCGAAATATGACAACCTATACTTGCATATTGTTCTTCAAAATAGTACATACACAAAGCTTCAATGAGGCGTCTTCCTCGTTCGCAGATTTCACTAGAAATTGGAAAGAAATTATCTAACAAATTGTATATTCATATCAACGATGAAGAACGTTGAACACTCGGTTGTTTATGTATTTTTGATTTCTTAAGCTGTAGATCTTGTATTCTCATTGCCACTCATTCTTCAAAAATCAAAACAGCTTTAAGCTATCTTCGCTTCCTTATGGGAACTTGTTTGATTTTGTTTGAGGCAGTTGAGCGAGTTGACAGTTGCTGAAATTTTGTAATTCACGTACATTTTGTAATTAACACGCCTTTGTCCAATCAGATTAAAGAAATATAGAGATAGCACACATCAGCAAGTTGTTCCAAAATTTTCATTTTTATAAAATTTTCGTTATTTCATTTGCGAGAATTTTTCTACTGTTCATTTCAACTCATCTGATTTAATTCATCCATCAGAAATGGCTGTATAGACGGCTAAATACGGACAAATAATCCTTTTAATTTAAAATACAAACATCTCCATTTGTCGAATATTCAAGTACCGAGCGAAAAAATAATTATTTGAGGAAACCGACTAACCGAGGAGGGAACAGCCTTTCACGGCCGAATTCGCCAAACAATAAATAACGCCTGTGAGCTGTGAAGGGCCTGTGAACAAGTCAAATCAATTTGTTATAACTTGCAGTAAGTCTGCAAATGTCAAGTTGCAACAAATTTGACTTTAACAGAGTTGCTGCAAGTTGTTTTATCAGACTTGCCAGACTTGTTATCCACAAGCTTGCTGCAAATTGCTTGAACAACTTTCAGAAGCCTAATTTTCTCAAGTTGCATCAACATTGATGCGTTCATCAGACTTGCTGCAAGTTGTTCTATCAGAGTTGTCAAAACTTGATATCCACAGATTTGATGCAAGTTGATGAAACAACTTGCATCAAGTTTGCAAATGACAACTTGCAGCAAGCCTGATTTCAACAGGCTTGCTGCAAGTTGATGACACGTCATCGACTTGTTGACAACTTGCAACTGGCCGGTAAAATCCGAAACTTGCAGCACGTCTGTAGCGTTTCTGGCTGTGTATAGTTGTATTAAAGAAAATTCGATTCTGACTATGTTTATTTATGTGCAAAAGATTGGGAATACCTAAACGGTTGACGATAAACAAGTAATATGTTGCTGTGTTTGACCCAGGCCCAACGCATCTTTTTCTTTGCCACAGTTGATGGTAACTACGGCAATTGGTCATTAAATAGTTCATGTTCTGTAACTTGTGGTGAAGGTTTTCAAACATGGTCACGACAATGTAACAACCCTGAGCCAAAGTATGGTGGAAGAAACTGCAGTCATCTAGGAGAACCTGTTGAGTACCGATTATGTACTAAGAAACCTTGCATTGGTAAATATATTATTCCTTTCAAAGATGCCGTAAACCTTCGAATGAAGATCTAGGGAAATAAGCCCAAGGTTTTATGATATAAACTACAAACTAATCTAGTAACGGTCTAGTAAGAGCGTCTATTTTGACTTGGTATTACTACAGGAGGAGAAACGGACGTAAAATGAGAGGAAACATTCTTCTCACAAATGATATCAGCAGAATCCTGTGTATTACAGGAATCGGAGTCAGTACAGAGATGAAAAGCACATGCACTAACCTCGATCTGTTCCAATCAATAAACATTGCAATTCTGATGGTTTGTGAGTAGTGGGGAAAATTGAAGCTTGTATATCATTCTTCTTAATTTCAGTTAACGGCAACTATAGTTGGTGGTATTTAAGCAGTGAATGTAACGTTACATGTGGACAAGGTGTAAAAATATGGCGACGTTCATGTGACAATCCTGCTCCAAAGAATGGAGGTCGAAATTGCACTGTGTTGGGAGAAGATGTTAAGTATCGAATTTGTGAAAGACGACCTTGCCCAAGTATGTTTCTGTATATCTTCTTTTCTTCTTCGTTTTAATCTTTATGGGGTCGGCCACTCTACAACAAAATAGGTCTATCCTTGCCATACCCTTGCGCTAAGTTAATTAGTACTCTCACATATCTTTAAATACTACCCGTCCATCTCATCCTTAGTCTACCTACTGTTTGATGTCTTGCTACTGAAGGTCTCTACGATATTTGACTGGATCTTTCTCTGATATTTTCATTATACTACATATAACTCTAGATATTTTCATTATAGCGCTCCAACTCGTCCTGTTTGTTTGTCGCCCTTTTACTGCTGATGTCTTCGAACTACCTTGGTTATATATTCGTCCTTTCTTCTCAATCCACTTTCTCGTTCCCTTATCTTCTCCGATATCGCAACAACGCATGCAAACTTCGTCTACTTCCAAAGGAAATTTCCAACATGCGCATCAGCATTCCAAACTTCCAAACTTCCTTCTTCTCTGTTCATTGAAGCAGTGGTGTAGTCCCAAAATTTTGATAAGGGGGCTCGTCTAGCATAAGGCATGATCTACTAGAGCATTTTTATTCTAGGGTCCCGCATTTTAAGTGATGGTTTAATCATATTAAATCAAGAAAATACAATCACTATAGAGCTCATTAGAAATCAATTGGAACAGTAAATGACAAAAATTCAAACTCTTTAGATATTGGGTTACATAATTTTAAGATGCTTCTTGTTTTGCAACAAGTAATACTTGTCCAAAACTTGCGAATTTTCTATTTTTTTAAAAAAATTCCATTGAGTCACCTTAAGGTTTTTAACAAGACTCAAATACTATTTGAAAATATACCAAATTTTTACTAAATTTTGAGATTAAAACATTTTTCTAATCGCACATTTTTCCTTCTTAAAAAGCTGTATCGGGCCACCTTAAGGGAGGCTAAGCCTCCCCCCACCAAAAAAAAATGAAAGGAGGTTCAGCCCCCATAAACGCCCCGACCACTACACCACTGCAATAAAAACAATCTCTCTATTAACCAAACATTATATAAGTTGAGTTTAAAACGTGAGCGGCCCTGTCCTGTACTTAACAGAGACCTTAAGATTCACGTTTATGGCAAACCGTTAACTGTAAACGACAAACGTCCAATCCATTTTGAGCAAGCTAA